GGTACCTCTAAAGGCAATCGAAAGGAAGGAAGAATAAAGTGGTATCACACTCGTATGACACCAGGAAAACAAAGGTAGTTAAATAAATATAATGACTGATACTTTTAGGGCAAATTTTTGTTATCAGCTGATTTGACTTCAAATCTGTTAATGTGAGTGCTCAATGGTAATATTCATCTCGTAAATTAAATTTAGAAGACGTTTCTTGAATTGTTCACTACTGCATTTCGGGAGTGATGCAATTTAGTGGTCAAGTTTACTCGGGAAAAAGAAATACCTGGAGTAAAATTATCTACCAAGTCTTGCTGGTGTTTGCACCGGGCTCTGTTTTTGTGGCGTTGTGGAGAGGCCAAAAAAATAGGGGATGCGTGGAAACCTTGCATGGGCACACAGGTGCCGGTTGTGATGCATTTTGTTAACAAACCAAACTTAATACATGCCAGCAGCTGGAGTCGTTTGGGTTCTTGGGCTTGGAGGTACCTGGCGCCCTTGCTCTGTGCATACATAGACATGATTCAGATGTAGGTGAAGCAGGACAGAGCCATAGGTGTCCAGGTTCCGTGGAGCCTCGTTTATGCTCGGTGGTTTCAAGTGAGCTCGGCTTTGGATGACATCTGAAAACCTCAGAAAGTGAAATAGGGCTTTGGCATGTGCGATTAGACAATGTTAGGCGGGAGCGAAAAATTCGCATCAAATATGGGGAGAAGGAGTGAGCAATTCCTCCTCATAGGGTGTTGCTTTAAACCCAAAGTCGGCAATTCTAGGACACTGCGGTACACAAGGCGCCAGCCGAGGGGTCTGTAAGAGATACGTTAGTAGAAGAAGGAAAAAAACGCCAGCTGGAGAAAGAAAACAGATTTGCCGTCGCGCCTTCTTTTTATAACTTCGGGCGACACGCATTCAGCAGTAAAATCTTACTAACAGCCAATCATCTTAAGTGGACTGTACCACATGTGCAGCATCATCGCCTTTGCGAATGTAGCAGTGGCCATGCTGTTTTGACCATAAACAAAAAACAGCCTGTAACATCACGAGGATCTAATGGCGTTTCTATGGCGTCATTCATCAGAAGGCGATTTTGAAGTTGGCTGTAAATAAGCCTTTTCGTACTTTGCGGGCGTATAACCCAGGAACCAGAGCGTTTTTGGGTCTTAAAAAGGGCTCATCCGTGAGCTGCATCAAAATGTCCTCAAGATGGCTCTTTCAGCTCGGAACATCATACAAATGTGACACATCCCCTTTAAGATTTCGGGCGCTGGTCGTGCCCCTATGACGTGCCGGAACAATTACCTGGTCCGATTGGCGTTTGGAGGTCGAGAAACCGACACGGTGGTGTCTGCCGTAAGGGAGCTACATAGTGCGTTGATCAGCTGGGTCGGTTGTATTGCCCTGGACATATCACCAGAGGACTTTCCTGCCCAGCCGGTCGCCCAAGGGCGGAGAGAGGACGGGGAGAGAGAGGCCAGGGGTGGCCCGTCGTGTCAGGACCTGCTGCCACAGGCTCCTTCTCTCCCTCCTCCCCCCCCCCCCCCCCCTCCCTCCCCGGTGGTGGGATAGCAACATTATCTTCCACCCTGTGGCGTGTCAATGACGCCACTTTTAGGTACGTGGGCGGCACCGACCGCCGGTACAAGGCAGCGCCGTCGGCTGGCACGCAGGCAGCGTCATCTATTTGCGCGGAGCGCGCCACCTGCAGGCCCAACGTCAGCGCCAGTACCGATAGGCGACATGAAGGCGACGAGTGAAAATCACGGTACCTCTCAGGACCTGACCCGCTTCAGTACTCCTAAGTGGCGCTGTAAGTTCCGGAGGGCCGTTATGGGCTTTGCCAGTCCCGGCGACAAGCACACCCGGAGGGGCTATCAAACGTTCGGAGACGTGCCTCGGACGTTGGACGCAGCGGACAGAATCCTGTCGCATGGCGGCTGCTTCCGGGACCGTCCGGATGGTGTGGCAGCCGTCGTAAAGCGACGCTGCAGGGATAACGCTGAACCCCAAAAGGTTCGGCTTTACCAGGTCCAGCATTGAGTTCTCGGGGTGTGTCGTATCTGCCCAGAGCTTCACGCCGGACGGAGGCGAAGCCGACGTTGTCGCGAACTTCCGCAAACCATCAACATCAACGAAACTGACCTGTCATAGGGTTAATTAAACCAGCTAGGGAGCTTTTCCAGCGTGCTTTGCTCTTCTGAGTGATCCTTACGGGATTGTCTAGAGTCCCGTAACATTTGAGATTGTCCCCACAACACGATGCCGCCCTCCAGCCGTGAAAGCGACGCCGGTGGCGCCACCTGCCCTCGCGTTCTTTGACCCAGCTCTACCAACCATGCTCAAGACGGAAGCCTCGCTTATGGTATGGGTTAGGCTTCCTGCAGTAATATGAAAAGACCTGGAGATTAGTGCAGTGTGGTTCTCGCCTCCTGTCTGATGTGGAGACGAGGAATTCCGCCGGAAAGTCGGGCTTGCTGCCTTTGCGTGGGAATGTCACAGATGCAGAATATGTCTCTCCGATCTGACACACTTCGGCATCGTTGTCGATCCCCTCCCCCCCCCCCCCCGTCCACCATCCTTCCCTCTTTGTGCCCACCTCTTGAATAAAAAGGAGCTCAGTGAAATCGAGAGCCTTCACCTGCAGCGCATGCACGAGAAACTCCTGGCCTCCAGTTTCACCGCCAGCTGGCGGAAGAAAACTTCTCACATGCCGAATGGGATCTCGCGCACTCTAGTGCAGGATCGTGCGTTAGACGATGAGGCAGCTGATGAATATGACCATTTGCATGCGGCAGTCATGGCCAACGTCAGCGAGGACCGCGAAGAAAGCACGCGACTTGTCGTGCTTCAGGGCGATGGTCTACAGAAAGTTCGTGCCCCACCTGCTCGTGACCCAGAGTATTCAGGCCTGGTGGACATCACTTTGACTGTCTTCATTGGTGCTTTACGGCGCATTCAGCTGTTCGGGCTATGTGGCGTCGCTTGCCTCTCACCCTGGCAGGAGAGGCGGGCACCGCGGGGAACCTAACCCCGTACCTCTGGCTTTCCAGGCGCACAGCTTGACCGCTACACTACCGGTGCCCAGTCGGTGCTCAATCGGTACATATAGCCCAGTCGTCGTATCATCGTATTTAGCTATCCAATCCAGTCACCGGGACTGGACCTCCATGCTATCGTCACCAACTGCAGCCCGCTCTGCGTTCATACTGGGCCATGCGCTTAGTGTTGGTTATAAATGACATCCTTTATATGTTTCGCCTAGTTGTCCCCAGAACTTGCGTCAAAAAAGACTAAACTGCATTACAAGTACCGAGCCAAGCACCAGTAGCGGCGGAAGGTCTGCTGACCCGCCATTGACAGGACACCGAGAACGTCATCCCGTCACGCGCTAGTTGTCGTCAAACCAGTACTCAGTCGTGCCAGAGTCTCCGCGGCGGGCCAGCCCGCCGTGAAGTAGGGTGTTTGAAGCTGCCTCGGACGACTGTTGGCACGCAGCGGCCCGCATCATTTTGTTCTATGCGGACAAGCAGCCCGGTCGGCCGTACTTCAGCTCCTGCCGACGTGCTGCAGCGCCTCCAGAACTCCTAACCTTCGCACTGCGCTCAGTCCTCGCAGGCGCAGTGAGCCGCCCCTGGGCAGGACGCGTGCATTTCAGGAAACGTTCAGGTCTCTACGTTCAGACGCCTGGCTGGGGCTAGGCGCACGCCTGTCGGTCACAAGTGAATTCTTAGATATGACAGTAGATGCCGCTGAATGTACCGGACAAGCAGCCTCTCGTGGGCAGGACGAATCTGGTACTCTGGTCTCTCGACTCTCGAACCTGGCGCTTTGGCATTATGGGCATGAGGGGCTCAGCAACAGCGGCACTGCGACGAAACCGCGGAACATGAAGAACAAACGTGTCGCGTGGGAGCCTCCTTTGGCGCCTTAGCATTAGGATAATGCAGGGCCTCGCAGTGGCGTTAATGCAGCTCAGTTTTGAAGTGGTGAACAACCCCCAGTGACAAATCTGTGAGGGCTGAAAAGCGTCGAACTATTCCAGGGCCGGCGGGTGGGGGGGGGGGGGGGATGACGGAGCCTCTAAAAACTGAAGCGGACCGACCGTTTTCGTGGAATTTGGCGTGATTGTATTTCGCGTTCATTTTCCAATACTTTTGCCTGGCTTCGCGCATATCTTCCACGTTCGTTGGTACGCCCGAAATACATTTGTATGCACGCTGTGGCAGCGGGCCAGTGCGGGTTGGTTCTCCAGAACCGCTTTGGTGTCGAGCAAAATTTATGTTTTTGGCAGCTAGGCCAGTAAGTAAAGCTACAATCTCTTCCTGCTGGATTTTGCGACTGCGTAGTGGCGCAACACTACACTACACTACACCACAAGTGCGCAATTTTACACAACGTCGCACTAAGGTCGTCAAAGGATTTTGCCATCCAACAACCCAATCCTTTTTGGAAAGGTAGGCTGCTTGACCCAGTGATATATCATTGGCTCCAAACACGCCGTCACCCCTACCCCACATCACGCTAATTTGACATCTGCATCCATATGAGCTGATGTCAAATTGCAGCACCCACACGCTGCACCGTCGAACACGCCGTCAGCATCAGTACAACCTCGGAGAGCACCAGTAATGGATAAGTGTCAGGAGTGATTGGGGTGATGGGCAAGTGCTGCAAGTCTCCCACTCACACTCTCATCATCCTCCCCTTTCCCCACACACTCACTCCACGATACGGCTTTCACCGTCCAGACGCGCGCGCACGTGCGCCCCCCCCCCCCCCGCCCTCCTGAGACAAAACGCCTGCCTCACCAGCCGCACCGCGGCTTGTCAAAGTGGCGACGGCACCCGCTGGCGTAAACCTTGCGGAAAAGTCGTTTCCCTAACGCGTGGAACGCTGCGGTCATCACCCGTCTGGAATGCGTGCATCGACGGCAGTGCGCTGTGATCACTGGGGATATTCATGGGAACACGCGCCCGCGGTGTCCCCCGGCGGGAAATTCGTCCACAAGCTGCAAAACACGCAAGGCACTGCTATTTCACGCACGTCTAGGACCGGTTCGATACTGTTCAAGGCACCGTACAATTGGTGACCGCCGTCACGCAGACACGACCACTGTGACTAGAGACCTGGGTCCGCGCTACCACAATCACAATCGGCGCTGCCGGCCGCCAGGGGAGCGGCGCGGCCGTCCCGGCTGTGAGTGCGGCCGTCGGCACCGGCCTCATCCGACTGGACGGCCGATCGATTTCAATGAGCGGCGATGGGCGCGGCTCAATACGCGCCGCCGCCGCCACCGGCCGTGGGCAAGCGCTCCATCGATCGCCGCGTCTCCGGGTCGACGCCGGCCGTCGGCTCGCCGCCCGCCGGCTGGCTGGCCGGGTCTCAGCCGCCCGTGGGCCGGTACCCGCTCGCGCAGTGCGACCTGCCGTCCGAGATGCGCTTCCAGATGTCGAACTGCTCCTCGAAGCGCACCATGTGCACGCTGACGGCCGTCTGGAACTTGCACGTGTCGATCTTGATGCGGTCGTTGATGAACTCTTTGGCGTGCACGCGTCGCACCTTGAGCTGCTCGCCGACTACGCCCGTCACCAGCACATCCTCGAGCGGCAGGAACACGGCGCTCAGCGCCGCCTTGTGCAGGCTACTGACCAAATCGCCGGTCAGCATGTAGGCCGGTCCGGTCATGAAGTCGGGCAAATATTTGCCCGGGAACGCCTGCGGACTGAGGTAGTATTTGGACTTGGCGTTGCGGATCGGCTTCCAGCGGCGTGCCAGCTTGCCGAACAGCGTGTTCCTGTCCTTCCAGTGCGCGTTGGCAAACGTTAGCACGTTCTCTGTGTTGATGAACATGTCGTCGTCCGTCTTCAGGACCATATGCGCACTGCCGCAGTACGTGTCCAACCACTCCAGCATCGACACAGACTTAAGCGTCAAGTTGCGGTACGCGTCGACGAACTCGCCCTGCACCATATCACCGAACAAGGTCTGCTCGGCGTCGACCACCGCCTGTAGCTGCTCACTAGTCCGACCGACAAAGAACACGAGCGCCACGTCCCGGCGCAGCGCCACCGTGCCCCACGTCAGGCGGATGGCCTTGCGCTGGCGCTCGTGGCCGGGCGCCGATGTGATGAGGATGACTAGCCGCAGCCGCTGGCCGCTCTCCGGGCAGCGGCCGCCGTTCGCGATCCGGAAGCCACCCTCGAACATGTCCTCGATCACCGTACCCGGCCGCGGCGTCGGCGTCGGCTTCGGCTTCAGCATTGGCGTCCGCTTGGTCGTCGACTTTGGCGTAGGTTTCGGCGTCTGCTTGGCCGTCGACTTCGACTTGGCAGCGGGCGTGGGCTTGGCCGGCGACTCGGACGCCCGGCCGGCCGCGGCTGCCGCCGGGATCTGGGACGGCGCCGGCCGGGCCTGGGTCGAGGGCGGCCAGGCCAGCGCCGTCGAGATGGGCTGGGCCGGACTGCCCGGGTGCTCAGCCGTCTGCGTCGAGCTTGACCCGTTACCCGGTCGGTACACCAGCCGCTCTGAAACAGCGACAGTCGAGGTTACGACCCCGTCGACTTACCGTCGTCCAGTCTCCCTACATTTCGCTACACGCTACGTTTCTCGCGGGGGAGATCAGCCAATAGCTTCGAAATGTTTGTTGGCAGGCATTTCTGGGTCACAAAAACATGAGGGAAGCATCGTATTTGCTGAAAAATGCTTAAGCGCAAAGATATTGGCGACTCACTCAATTGTTTTTCACGACATACGTTTTCAGCATGTGAAGACAAAGCTTGGAAACAAACATGACTCAAATTATTTGACAAGCGATATATATATATATATATATATATATATATATATATATATAATTGACGGCGATAATTACCTGTGACGCCACAGGTATTGCACCACATACGGTCGACCGTAAGGGAGGACCCACACTGCTGTTTTTTTTTTTAAGGAGACTCCATACTGCTCTTTTTAGGGGAGGACCCACGTTGCTTGTTTTAAGGGAGGACCGACACTGCCGTGTTTTAAGGGAGGACCCACGCTACTGTTTTTAAGGGGGGACCCACACTGCTGTTTTTAAGGGAGGACCACCACCGCCGTTTTTTTGTTAATTGAGGACCCACACTGGTGCGTGTTTTAAGCGCCAGCGCGCTGCACGACAGGCGTCCCGCATCCGGGCGTCCCGCGGCGACCGCGCGTCCCGACGCTTGGACGTGCGGCTTCGCCCCGTTGAACGGTGGCAAACGGTAACAGGTACGGTCAACGCCTGATCGGAACAAAATATAACACGCTATCGCATTAATCAGCCTGTAATGCGCGTCTAAAGCATGTCGAATGCTTATAAAAACATTCTTTTAATGCATACGAGCAATACGTCTCATTCAAAACAAACCGTTCTTTGGCGCTCATGGTCGGTTAGGACTAGTTGCGGCCCATTGCAAAAAGTATGAATCAAGTCTGCTTTTTGAGATCCGGATGCACGGCGGTGCTTTGATAACATCATTTTCGTGGCTCACATAACCCGTAATATACTACACAAATGACTAACGGCCCCCAGATAGTTTCCAGTGCTGATAGTCAAGCACAACCAAGTATTGATAATTGTTTTTCGCATTGTTTTATGCGGCGCGTTTTTGTCGCGACGTTATGACATCATGCACATGCAACTCAGTTGGTTGTGAGGGGTATCATTCGTCGTTCCAATTTAAGTGTTTATGTCCTTTTCAAGCAGGCCCACCGATAGCTGCATGCAAATTACACCTTGTTTTTATACGGTCATGTAGCCCCGTCACTCCTCAGACGAGATGGGTTAACGCAGCTGGGTCAACTTAAGTTTGATAAGGGGCTGTAAGACTTTCCGCAACTCATCAACATTATAAGGTCCATACTCATGTAAGGGAAGAATGTTCTAATGTTATTCACATTCATATCTAACATCATCATGAATACTTTTCTTTCCATCCGCCTGAACCTGTTCGCCGGGCGGCTCCCACACGCCGCCGACTGCACAACTGAGTGCTTCAAGCGGCTGCACAGGTAAGCGACACTTCAGCGCCAACTTGTATGGTGCAAAGAAGAAATAAAATAGATCGTGACGTCGTGGTTAAAAGATAGGAATCTGTCTACTTCGGAACAAAACTTAAAACCGCACTTCCACCCGCCAATGCTTACAAACGGTGCAAGACGAGTCAATGCCCTGTTTATTCGGTGTCCGTGGCAACCAGTTGCACGAGTGACCCCGCCCACGGCGCGGCAGTGGCGTCTGGTCGTATCGGCTGCATCCAGTCGCGTTGCGGCGCACTGAGTCAAATTACATTGAATTGTGCCGCGCCACGCTGCATGAGAATCACAGTATGGGGCGGCTCTAACTCCCAGTGCGGTGTCTGTTGTGAAGCACAACGCGTGACGCCAAAAGTGACAACCCCGGTGGCAGTTTTTCCAATGAGGAATTGGACAGTAAGTCTTGCCACAAAGAAAGCTTCTGGACTCCTATAGAGCTAAGTTGGATTTAACTCTCATCATTTCTGAAACCTTGAACCTTGTCATCAATCGCGGGCTTATAGCCGGCTTATATCGCAAGTTGGCACTGAGCGCCAGGATCACAACAGAAAGACAGCCCCTGAGGAGGCGCAAGGGCCATACAATTACAGAAGTGGACTGTGCTACCATCGCGCAATCAGCACCGAACTACGCGAATACAGACGGGCGCGTTTGAGAACATGAGAACAGTTATCAATACTATGAAATGTTCATCTTTCGTGACAGTTCAGCTGGCAGCAGGACTTGAACACTGTAGTGTCCGTACTGTAACTTACACTCAGCATCGCACAAACGCTGGTCGGGTTCCAGACTGGCCAGCAGCAGCCAGTCCCAACTATTGGAAACGATCCACACAACTGACCTGTCGACAATCCAGCCTGACAGCCCATGTAGTTCCCGACTCGTGGAAGCTGACAACAGTACATCCTATCCAAAAGATGCCAAAATCTACTGATGTTTCTAATTACAGGCCTATCTCAGTTTTACCGACTATCGCTAAGGTCACCGAACTTTTAGTTTACGAGCTGCTGTTTGCACATTTTACCTCTCATCACCTGCTCTCATCTAGTCAACATGGTTTTAGATCATATCACTCCACTGACACGGACGGCGCTTCTCATGGTAACCGACAAAGTTTTTGAGGTCATGGATCAAAGGGAAATCACCTTGTTGTGCCTGCTGGACTTATCCAAGTGCTTTGATGTTATCCCACATGATGGACTCCTTAGAAAGCTCCAGCTGCACAATGTTGATGTACGTTGGTTTGCGAGTTACCTCCAAAACCACTTTCAGCAGGTTCTCGTCCAGAACCCAGGTGGCGCTTGCTCTCTGTCCGAGGCATTACACAACCCGATCGGAACGTACCAGGGCTCAGCGCTCGGCCCGCTGCTGTACAGCATTTATGCTGATATGTCGCTGTATGCTCATGACGCATGTATTGTGCAGTACGCGGACGACACGCAGGTTTTAGTGAGTGGGAGGCCCGGTGACATTGGTTCGTTGATCACATCCATGGAGTAACATCTTTCACACCTGTCCAAATGGTTTGGCAAAAACGGAATGAAAATTAACGCACAAAAAACAAAGCTCATAGTCCTCGGCACGCGTCAACATCTTCTGAACCTGTTACCGACTAGCATCAAATCTATGGGCGCCAGTGTAGCCAGCTCTCCCTCCGTTCGAAACATGGGTGTTGTATTTGACCAGTGCATGACGCTTACTGCGCACACTGATGACGTCGTTGACGCCGATGCACTGGCGTTCTTATGGGCCTCAGCCACAGCCGGCACAGTCTGCCTCAGGCCACACTCATTACTCTAGTCCAGGGTCTGGTCATTTCACTCATCCGTTACTGCATCTGTGTGTGTGGAACATGTAATGTTACTCAAACATCATGACTGCAGGAGCTGCTGAACTTCACAGCACGAGTCATCTCTGAGCATCGGAAATATGATCATGTGAGCGATGTTTTACGAGATCTCCAGTGGATGTCTGCTGGCGCGTTCTTATATCATACACTGACACTCCTGAAACGTATCCTGGCAAGATCCCAGCCGGAGTCACTACCTGATCACCTTATCCATAGACGCCATGTTCACCAACGCACAACGAGGCAGGTTGATATGCTACGTGTGCCGGTAATCAGATCCGAATCGGGAAGGCGGCGTTTTGTTTACTTCGCCGTGGCCGCCTACAACGCACTACCGCAGAATATCCGCGAGCTGAGCGTTCGACAATTCAAACGCGAGTTGCGTAGTTATATCCTGCAGCGGCAGATCAATAACGGATAGCGACGCATACTTCAAATGGCTTTAACGAATGTGAGCGTGCGTTCTGCGTATGTGTGCCTGCGTGTGTACGTGTTTGCGCGAGCCTCCCTGACCCACAGTGCTTTATTTCCACGACACGGGCTCTTTAATAGCCACATTCTGAGTGGAGTGAGCTTATGACGTATGATAAATGAATAAATAAATAGACGAACGGTAGACATTACCGCGCGACAGCACCATCATATCCCGCACCAGACAAGCTTTCAAAGGTCGTCCAAACACCACATAATGTTCTTTGATAAATCTAAATTTTTAGTGTACATCTAATACAATATATAGGTATGTAGGGCGTACCTACCAGAAACCGTTGGTGGATGGACTGCTGACTGTTGGATAGGTAAGTTTGCGACATCAACGTAAATTGTAAATCGGTCAATTGTCGCATATTTACCTACAAGTGAAATAATTTTCATTTTGTCAAGTGATAGTATAGCTCAATTCGAACTCCTTTAATGAGCACTGAACAATTTTTATATTTTTGTTTCTTCTCATCTCAGCAAAATGCAGGCAGGCTACCCGTGATAGCAAATCACAAGTTGCGTATGTAACGAACATGCGCAAAAAACACTATTAGACAATCTTCTGGATCTTCGGATCTGGATCGAATCTCGCTTCCCAGAATGCCAGCAGCTGGAAAAGACGAGCAAGGAAACCATATCATCGCTTTTGTGCCGTATGGCTTCATTCCCCGACAGCAACTACAATGCCCAGTTCTCAGAGTTCTCACTGCGTTCAGAGGCTTCGGGGTGAGATATGGACCGCTTGGCTTCTGGGGCGGGCTGTGCTTGTCAACTCCCGTTTTCTATCACCGTGCGGACGGAAACGACCCTAGGTTCGCCCCCCACCCCCACCCCCCACCCCCATCTGGTAGCAGCCCTGGTCGCGTCCTGACCTCGAGACAGCGCTCTCGGTCGTCACCGTCAGTTGGTGCGGTGCGGCAGCTGTCGCGCGCCCCGGTCTTCACTTCACACTCGCCGCACCGTGGAAGAATGTTTTGGCGCCATATAAAAACATCCCAATGCAGCATGCAGCATATGCAGTATGCTGCGGCTTGATTCAAGTAAAACAAAACTGTACTTGACATTACCAAGAGTAATGGTGGCATAAGCCTGATCACTGTATTGGATAACAAATAATGACATAAAACGTTGGTATCGACA